TTCTTTTCACACATTTCGCTTTTCCTTTCCAGGTTAGAATGTGTGCACATCTCTAGTTACAGTTTGCTTAGAACCATTCATGAACATCTTTTCTGCTGACTATGTCTGCTTGCATTGAAGACAAACTTCGGCTTGTTTCTGGAGCTACATATTTTCCCAGGTAAATATTTGTGTTGGCCTTTTCCCCAGCTGTTTACCTGTCACTCACTGATAGACCTGACTTTGGCAAATTTAATTACTCTACATAAAGGTACTGTTTATTTTTTGAAAGCGGTCTTCCATGCTTTTTTGGTATCTTGCCATTGCTTAACACGTTTTGTACATGAAAACAAAATATTTTTGTGCTTCCATCAGTCTTTAAAAATAGATAGAGTCTAGCAAAGTGCACCATGTTCACAAACATTATCTATATGTTGCTATATTACCCAAAGCCAAATTACTATATTAAAGGAAAATTTGACTTTTGGTAAAGCCACCTACCAAAATACTTACCTTTGGCTCCTCTCCCACACTTTGCCCAGTGCTGCACAGCCTATGTAAACAAAAAAAAAAAGAAAGGTCCAAGTGGCATCCAACTTTTACTGTCCCATTTATTTTTTGGGGCTGGAACCTTACTCTTCTACATGGCTACATACCACCAAAGTATTGACTAATTGACTATGCCTGAGCGGTTCAGTAGGAGCTGAATGCAACCAGGATACCTTTGCAGCTCCAGGTAAGGCCTTCCCCTAAGATCATTGACGCTGACCACAGTAACTTCACAGAACTACCATAGATGTATCCATTTTCTGCCACAGCATACCATCAAACTTGTTACACTATAGCAATCCTTAAGTCATGAAGCTGTTATGTGATCTCCCCTCTCTCTGATTGGAGTATCTGATATGGTAGTCATGTTGAAGAAAGGCATTCAAGTCCAAAAATGTCTATCGAGCTCAACCAATTTGATGGTCTGATCTACCTATGATCTACAAGCACCCCAAACACTCACCTTTTATCTTTTAATATATTAAGGGGTCTCCAAACATTCTAAACAAAGGGCCAGTTTACTGCCCTTCAGACTTTAGAAGGCCAGACTGTGGCAAGTGGGAGCAGAAAATGGTCTGGGGTCAATGAGAGTAAACAATGCTCCATCTTTGGTAATGAGGGAAGAATAGTGCCCTACCATTAGTGTCATGGGGAGGAATTGTACCCTACTGTTAGGTTAGGGACTGATGGGAATGTACAATATATATATGTGTAAAGCGCTGCATAAATTGACTGCGCTATATAAGTACCTGTAATAAATAAATAAATAAGACTGTTGGTGCCATTGGGAGGAACTCTGCCCCATCATTGATGTCAGTGGCAGAAATAGTGTTCCACTGTTGATGTCAAAGAAAAGAATATCGTGGCCTCATTGGTGTCATTGGGTGGAATTGTGCCCTATCATTGGTGTTAGTGGAAGGAGTAGTACACCATCATTGGTGTCATTGGGAGGAATTGTGCCTTATCGTTGGTGTCAATGGGAGTAATAGTGCCCCATCATTGGTGTCAGTGAGAGGAATAGTGTGCCACTGTAGTGTCTTTGGGAGGAATTTTCTGTTATCATTGGTGTCAGTGGGAGTAATAGTACCACATCTTTGGTATCAGTGCGAATAATAGTACCACATCATTGGTGTCATTGGGAAGAATAGTACCACATCATTGGTGTCAGTGGGAGGAATAGCACACCATTGTTTGTGTCATTGGGAGGAATTGTGCCCCATTGTTGGAGTCAGTGAATGGAATAGTGCCCCAAAGGCCATATAAAGAAAAGAAAAGCACCAGATCTGGCCCCAGCTGCAGGTTGAGGAGCACTGTATTAAACAAAAGCAATATATATATATATATATATATATATATATATATATATATACATATACATATACTATATTGCCAAAAGTATTGGGACACCCATCCAAATCATTGGATTCAGGTGTTCCAATCACCTCCATGGCCACAGGTCTTTAGCATCAAGCACCTAGGTATGCTTACTGCTTCTACAAGCATTTGTGAAAGAATAGGTCGCTCTCAGGAGCTCAGTGAATTCCAGCATGGTACCGTGATAGGTTGCCAGCTGTGCAAAAAGTCCATTCATGAAATTTCCTTGCTACTAAATATTCCACGGTCAACTGTTAGTGGTATTATAACAAAGTGGAAGCAACTGGGAACAACAGCAACTCAACCACCAAGTAATAGGCCACATAAAATGACAGAGTGGGGTCAGTGCATGCTGAAGCGCACAGTGTGCAGAAGTTGCCAACTGTCTGCAGAGTCAATAGTTAAATACCTCCAAACTTCATGTGGCCTTCAGATTAGCACAACAGTGCATAGAAAGCTTAATGGAATGGGCAGCTGCATCCAAGTTTCACATCACTGAACTCTAGAGCAGTGGAGACGTGTTCTTTGGAGTTACGAATCACACTTCTCTGTCTGGCAATCTGATGGACATGTCTGGGTTTGGCGGTTGCCAGGAGAATGGTATTTGCCTGACTGTATTATGTAGTGTAAAGTTTGGTGGAGGGGGTATTATGGTGTGGGGTTGTTATTCAGGGGCTGGGCTTGGCCCCCTAGTTCCAGTGAAGGGAACTCTTAAGGCATCAGCATACCAAGACATTTTGGAAAATTTTATGCTCCCAAATTTGTGTCATGTTGGAACAGTTTGGGGATGGCCCCTTCATGTTCCAACATGACTGCGCACCAGTGCACAAAGCAAGGTCCATAAAGACATGGATGAGTGAGTTTGTGGTGAAGGAACTTGACTGGCCTGCACCTCAACCCGAAAGAACACCTTTCGGATGAATTAGAATGGAGACTGTGAGCCAGGCCTTCTGGTCTGACATCAATGCCTGACCTCACAAATGTGCTTCTGGAAGAATTGTCAAACCTTCCCATAGACACCCTCCTAAACCTTGAGGACGGCCTTCCCAGAAGAGTTGAAGCTGTTATAGCTGCAAAGGGCGGGCTAACTCAATATTGAACCCTACAGACTAAGACTGGGATGGCCATTAAAGTTCATGTGCTTGTAAAGGCAGGCGGCCCAATACTTTTGGCAATATAGCATATATATACAAACTAAGCAAGACTAATATCTATGCATAGGAAACAACCAGTTATAGTATTTACATACATGCATTTTTATTAAAACCTAACTCAAGGTATGATTTTTAAGTTACAGTAGTCCCACTTGAACCACTTGCTCTCACAGCTGAATGATTGCTGGGGAAGCTGTAAATCACTGTAGTAGACAGCAGGGGCGGACTGACAACTCATGGGGCCCCTGGGCAATAGGGGATCATAGGCCCCTATGTCCTTGCCCAAACTCAAAAAAGCCTATGAAAAAGGTACCAGGGGCATCTCATGGGGCCCCCTACGGACCCCGGGCCCTCGGGCAGTGCCCGAGTTTCCAAATGGTCAGTCCACCCCTGGTAGACAGCACTACTACAGGGACAGCAACAATCTTCCAGGTCCTGTGCTGAAGGGCTTCCCTTCTGCATAGTAACCACAGAGGGTCGATTGCTCTGCGCTGCCTCCATTTTCAGGACATCTTGCAATTTTTTCAATGAATACAAAGTGTTCTCTGATTAGATGAGGTGGAGGTCATATTGTCACGTCTCCTCTTTTCCACCTCATCCAATGAGAAAGTCCCTTGTACTTATACATGTGCCTGCAAAAAAACAAATGCAGCAACCACATTTGATGACTGGTAAGCTGCATATTACCACATTTCTGCTGTTTGATTTGGATATTCTTTAGGGAGCAATAGAGCAAATGCTGACCCGTTTCATGCCAGTACACGTATGGCACCAAACAGGCCTTCAATATAATGTGTACATTCACTCATCTATTTATAAATGTTTTCCCTGAAGATTCACACAACTTTTAGCCAGGATTCACATAGTTTTCCGAATGAATCTAACTGAAAAAAGGTGTGAATCTTGGGTTAAAGTTGCATGAATCTTAGGTGAAAAAATGTATAAATGGATCTCTTTGTGTTCATTTCAAAACACCCTTGGTAACATGACTTGCTGTTTTGCATCTTGTATAGAAAATATTTTTCGAAATCATTTGTTTATTTGACATTTCCATTAAATCACATTAAAGTATAATTTTGCTTGGCAGGACAACATGTCACAATATTCCAAGTATGAACTTCCTATAAAAGAAGAGCCAATATCTACCTTTCGAATATGTGTTTCAGAAGGTGTAAACTAGCTTGCCGCAATAATATTTTTTAAGAAGGAGGGAATAATCAGTGTGTGTCGTTGAACTAATTCAAATGTTTTAGGTTACCTACTGAAAAAGTGTCTAAGCGCTTTGGTGTTGGGTATATCTTGGTGACTAGTAAATTTTTATTTCTGCTTCATTTGAATAGCAGGGAAAAATAGTTCATAATCTTAAAAAATATTTACAGCGAAAGTTGAGATTTGTTTAAAGCAGGGGACTCCACACTTTCTATACAAAAGGTCAGATACTGTCCTTCAGATTTTATGGGGGTTGAACTGTGGCCAGTAAATGTAGAAACTGCCCCAGAATCAGTGGAATGTTTCAGGTTTGGTAGTCAATGGGATTAAAAACAATTATATAGCTCCTATGGTCAGTAATGCCCCATCATTGGTATTAGTGAGAAGAATAGTGCCCTTGTTATATCAGTGGAAGGTGTAGACCCCACCATTGGTGACAGTGGAAAGAATAGCTCCCCATCACTGATGTCCATGTCCATGATCTCCATTGTTTGTATCAGTGTTTTTTAGTATAAATGAATTGTCCTAACTTACTTGGTCTTGGTGGGCTTGTGGCTTGGGTCTTCTTGAGCATCAGCATGGCCTGGATGTAGGGCAGGACTCCTCCCTGAGCAATGGTGTCACTGCTCAGCAGCTTGTTGAGCTCTTCGTCGTTGCGGACAGCCAGCTGGAGGTGTCGGGGGATGATGCAGGTCTTCTTGTTGTCGCAGGGGGCGTTGCCAGCCAGCTCAAGGATCTAAGCTGTCAGATACTCCAGGGTGGTGGCCAGATAGATGGAAGCTCCGGCCCCAACCTGCTTGGCATAGTTTCTCTTCCTGAGCAGGCGGAGAACACGACCAATGGAGAATTGCAGACCAGCCCAGGATGATCGGGTCTTGGCCTTAGCCCATGTCTTGCCTCCTTGTTTGCCATGATCAGACACAATGTGATTACTGATAAGTCTTTAAACTAGAAATTGTTTGTATCAGTGGAGGCAATAGTGCCCCATCGTTCATATCAGTGGGAGGAATAGTGCCCCATTGTTGGTGTCAATGGAAGGAATACTGCCCAATCATTTATATCAGTGAAAGGAATAGTGCCCCATCATTGGTGTCAGTGAGAGGAATTATACCCCACCGTTAGTGGAAGCAATGGAACTTCATTGTTGGTGTCAGTGGGAGCAATAGTGCCTCATATCAGGAAGGAACAGTGCACCAAGGGCCAGATAAAAGCAAGCAAAGAGCTGCATTTGACCCAGGGCCCACAGTTTGGAGATTATTGCTTTAAAGTATAACTAAAGGCAACACTTTTTTAGTATTGGGTAGAATGTAGAAGGAGTAGAAAACCTGTCAACTTCTGCATTGCTATCTGTATTCCCATTAGGAGGATTCACTCTCTCTATAAGCTCCATTCACATCTGCATGCTGTGCTTTTGCATGTTTTTTCACTTTAATGGACTGCCCTTCATGGGAAAACCGCATCTGCTAGACACATTTGGGGTGCCATTAAGAAATCCTGGCACTACCAGCACAGTGTGCATTTTGGCACTTTTTCACATGTAGCACGACCCTCAAAGGAGCCGCTTTGTTCTTTACCTCAACCTTCTCAAGAGCCTCAGCTACATACAATATCACTGGAAATCACTGAAAGTAATAATTAGACCCTATTCACACTTGTGCGACTTGTCATGCGACATTGTGGTCCAAAGTCACATGACAAGTCCCCCCCCCCCATGTTTCCCAATGCGTACCAATCATATCTTTGCAACTTCAGAGTAGTTCATGTGCTACTTTGGTAGGACTTTCATGCAACGTGAGAGCCATATACTGCAACGAAAACCCCCAAAAGGTGTATGAAAGTTACACATGAATGTTGTATATGCAACAGTTTTGCAACAGTTGTCCATTATCATTAATGAAAGCCAAAGTTGTATCCAAGTTGAACTCATCCAGAGTTGCATCGAAGTTGCGTTAAAGTTGCATTAAAATTGCAAGTCGTGCAACTTTGGAGTTGTACAAGTGTGAACGGAGCCTTAGTATCCAATAGTAGTGCTATATCAAAGAAAGCAGGTACCAAACCAGGTAATAAAGGCAAAGTTAATAAATATATTGTCACCCAATATGGCTGGTAACTAAGCAAGCATAAAATGGATTAATAATGGTAATAACACAGTTTAGCATACACAGTAATTAACTGTAAGGACTAGTCATAAGATAACATTTATTGTCCAGATCAGCATACATAGCAGCAAGGCCACCTCAAGTACAGCAGTTGCCATCAGCAGCAGTACAGTAGTAGTAAAGTTTAATCTACTGAATGCTGGAACTATACTACCAGAGTGCATTTATAGCAGCGATGCAAGTCCTAGACTGACTGGGTATGCACTGTCCAAAAGAAAGGAGGATGATAGTGGAGGGGGCAGGAGAACAAAGGGGGGTTGCAGAATAATTATTACGGGAGGGGCAGTCCTTTCAGATGTTTCTCTGTCATCTATTGTTCGGCCCTTTAAGAGCATCAGTGCACTTAATGACAGTCTCAGTTAATCTACACTTAATGACAGCACCAGTTAATAAAGGCTGACAGTTTAATCTACACAGTTTTGTCGACACAGACCAGCAACATTTTTTTAAAATTCTTTTTATTGACTTTTTAATTTGTAGCAAACAAAAAAAAAAATACAAGAAGTACCAAAACAGTGCAAAATAGAAATAATACAGTACATTGAAAAATAGGGTCTTTCAAAGGATAGATGCACAATACCAGCAAGACATACATTTTGATTTATTTATTTCAGGTACTTATATAGCGCTGTCAATTTACACAGCGCTTTACACATATATATATATATTGAACATTCACATCAGTCCCTAACCCTCAGGGGTGTACAATCTAAGGTCCCTAACTCACATATATATATTAGGGCCAATTTAGACAGGATCCAATTAAACTACCAGCATGTCTTTGGAGTGAAGGGAGGAAACCGGAGCACCTGGAGGAAACCCATGCAAGCACAGGGAGAACATGCAAACTCCATACAGGAGGCACCATCGTCGGGAATCAAACCCATGACCTATTTACTGCAAGGCAGACGTGCTAACCACTAAGCCACTGCACCGCCCTGATTTGATGATGCACTGATACAGTAAGCAATGTATCAGTATGGGAGTTTATTTACTAAAACTGGAGAGTTAAAATCTGGTGCAACTCCGCATAGAAACCAATCAGATTCCAGGTTTTATTAAACAAAGCTTAATTGAACAAGCTGAATTTAGAAGCTGATTGGTTCCCATACACAGCTGCGCCAGATGCTCCAGCTTTAGTAAATCCCCCCATATGTCTTGTATCAATGTATTTATATTCAGATATAGCACCATATTCCCATTATAATACCGTTCCTTTGTAGATGGAATACACCTGTATAAACTCAAAAATTCAAATGTCCTACCCTTTGGCCAAGTCCAGAGGAAGAGGATAAGCTGTGAAACGCTTTGACACAAAAAGGAACCAATATATGTTAACAGTTGATGGACATACATCCTTTATGGTTTTCTCTTAGGAACAAGTTTTATGTATGATGATAATTTGTCAGAATATGTGTTTTTGGGATAAATAAGCAAAATAAAATTGATATTTTTTTTTGTACATGTGGTGGTTTTCCCAGTTTCCAGTGGATACTTAGGCTTGGTTCACATATGTGCGGGTGGTGCTGCTGCGGATCCGCATGAAAATCCGTGCAACCTCACCACCCGCACAGAGGAATGCGGACCCGCGGGCGGGTCCCATTAGTTCTAATGGCACGCCGCCTGCACTGGAAAACACAACGGTACTGGGAACCGAGGTTCCCGTTTGGGCTGCGTTTTCAGAAGAAGTGCAGGGACTTCTTCCCTACGTGTCACGTGGCATGGGAGTCCATTCAAATGAATGGACTCTCATGCCCTCCCAAAATGCTGCCCACACGGCCGCATATATGTGAACCAGGGCTTACCATATATTGGATTTTTAACTTACATTTTAATAAAATATTCAACATTATTTGTATTTCATTTAGTTTCTCTTATATTTACTCTTTCAGTGCAATTTTTAAAGTTGGGTTCTTTTTTCTTGTTAAAGGACTAAATACTCATGTAGAAAAACATGAGCTAAGCTGTTCAATATCTGCAAACAAACAATATCCAATGTTATGGTAATCTATCAAAAATGCCTCTGGGATTCCCCTCTCCCCCAAAAAAAATCATATTTATAATATAAGCTATGATAAATAGTCCCACTATACGTACACTTTTTGCATCTAAATTGACTATATTACATACCCTCAATGCATTTCAGAGAATGAAAACAGCTTATTGGGGAGGAGAGTTCTAAGCATCCATTGTTTTAAATATTCAACATCAGCCCTATTTATATTTCATATATTTTCATTTAATTTCTTACTGTTTCAGCACAGTTTGTGCAGTTGTTGGGAAGCTGAAAAAGATATACAATACCCAGTGTTGTGGTAATCTATCAAAAATGCCTCTCAGGGTTCACAAAAAAAAGCAATCATATTTAAAATATAAGGCAATGATAAATAGTACCACCATACTTAAAAACATTGTATTTTATTAGAACATTTTCAAATCCATGATTAAAATACATAATGCTCCACTGAGGATATGCTGTAATAGTGTGATGCTTATATCAGACTTAAAAATAAACTTTTGCTTAAAGTGACCTTATTGTTAGTAATATGCACTTCTGGGAACACCAACCCTCCTCCAGTCTGAATGTGAGGAGAAGTTTTCCTGACTCTTCACATGTAGTTCTTTTCTATAGGCTCGAGGTACCATGTGGTCAGCATGATGACTTCCCCTTTCAGTAGCGTTCCTGTAACTCCCCTGTCCCTAGAGTATAAGGTCTTGCACCACCCACACTTCTCTGCTTGCTTACTTCATTCCTAACTTTTTTCCAAAATTTGACCCAGCCTCCTGTTAATGAATAAGAGAATTGCTCAAATAGACCAAGCAAAAAAATAAGTTTTACAGTGCTCTTCGATCCTTAATAAAGCATAACAAACACTCTTGTTAGCGCATCAGGAATGAAAGGCCCTCAAAGCTGTTAGTCTCAGAACAGGCTCCTCTTCAATCTTGTCAAACAAGGGTAGGGACAACCACCACTGGAAACCTCAACACTTCAGATCAGGGATGATCAAAACTGAAATTAAAGCAATTTCACACAAGCCTAGTGCATTATCATAAGACCCTATATCGGGGCTCTGATGAAGAGGACATAGCCCTTGAAGCAGGTAAGCTACACCCCTGTGGATCGACATGATTCCAGCATCGAAACTGGATTTGGTATATGCACTCTACAGTGTACAGTTGTGAGTACAGTGGAATTTGTTTTTAGTAATTAAAGAGTTTATGATGTTGCATTTGACTGGTGTGTCTTCTTCTTTTGCTGTAGTTGCTCTTAGATCCTTGTCAGGATCATCAAAACTCCTACTCTCAGAATCCCTGCTGGGACTTTCAATGTTACTTACAGAATCCCTGCTAGAACTTCCAGTGGTACTTGCAGAACCCCACTAATGACTTAGTGCTTGCATAATCACTTTCATCTCTTCCACAGAATTCTTCCAATAGTACTCCCAGAATTCCTACTAGGATTTCCAGTGTTCTCAGTTACAACACTGGGTATGTCTTCTACCTGAAGTGTATTTAAGCTCCAGCCTTTGCAGTGACTGGTTCTGTGTCTTATGGCCAGCTATCGGAAAGCTACAGAGGTATAATACTTGCCTGTCAGTTGCCTAGTTGATTAGACTACTTGCTTGCATGCTGTCACCCTAGACCCCTGCAGGGACCTAACTACTCCTTCATTTGCCATCTGTCTTGACACTGGCCTGGTCCTGACTACTCTCTCTCATGGAGCTCTGTGAACAGTCTCTGCAACATTCTTTT